CATAAGTCCAACGATTTAGGAGTTATTGGCAAAAAACGAAAATTTCGCGAAATCTGAAGGGGTATCCCTTGGAAAAATCTCAGAAAAATCGAAAATTTTTTTTTGTTGTTTATTATTAGCAATGTACTTCCGACGTTTGATTTCTTTTTAAAAAATGCGTTTCTAAAGTGCATAAACTTTTGGGATTGACTGTATAGCCAATACATCCTTAATATTGATACTATTAGGTCCATTGTAGAATTATTCTAATAGCTTCATTCAAAGTTACGAAAATACTATCTATAACGAAGTTAAAATTGCACGCGGAGATTGCTTACTTGATTTGAATACTGACTCGGAATATTTTCATTATTTATCCATTTTCGTGCAACGAATCCGTTCGAGGCGAGCGATTTTACTACCCGCTATCTGGAAGATTGCCGTTTATCGTGGCCCGCTCTCTTCGTTAGGGTCTCACGAGACGCAGTTAACGCTTTTCCACGAACTGCCTCGTATGCGAACTCGGGCAATTTTCGAGCGTACGAACGAGCGTCACTTTTAAGAAAAATCCGAACTGACGTTTGCAGTACTTAACGTACGATTGTATCAAGAAAATGTAAATAGACAGTCAACGTGGAATACACTTTTTATCGGGCCTATTGACCGAGCTAGTAGACTATAATTAGATATCGTGTCCCATGACAGTTTGCACTATCCTGATTTTCCTGTTCCCTCCGATGCCCGATTGTGTGACACGTTTTTCATAATCATCCGGCACTTATATTTTACGTCTATTTGTATTTTTTCCCGCTCTGTGATCCCCACGATTTCCTTTCTATATGACCGTGAGAAAGAGTTGACAGACATGAAACGATCGTACCTTGCAAATTTGTTTCCCGATGTTGCCTCGAAACCGCGTGGAATGAGAAAGGTTGCGCGACGATGACAAAAAACAGTTCTCGCACCTCAATAGCTCGATACCGTAAGAACGGTCGAGGGAAAGAAAATTGGCGAATCGATAGTTTTTGCCATCTCACTCGAATAGTCAAATTAGGTCTTCCTGTTATTACCATTACTATCGTATCTTGCCGGCGATATCATGTGTATACTCAAACGTGCTATATTAAACCGAGTGGCATTTAGTTAGCCCGATAACGGTTTCGCATGTTGCAAACCCGATAATAACTACAATATATACCTAGTTGCATAACGCTTTCATGACTATACTTAGTAAAATGTATGCAACATTGAACTCGGACTGAGTTTAGAGGTCAAGATTCTCTTAAACGTGGAAAATTTTCCTTTCTATCGAATAGGGAACGAATTGGCTTAGAGAAAGAAAGTTCTCCTTCGGACGCATTCGATTCGTAATTGGTGCGAACTTGGCAGCACCGACGGTCATTGCATATTACTGGCACGTAGTTCAGTAATTATCAACAGTCATTTATTCGCAACTTGGTCGAGACGATCGTAGCGTCGTTGTCCGTTTCGCGATACGAGCAGCAACGACGACGGACGGGCCGCCACGCCGTTTCTCTGAACATTCCCGCTTTCCTTTCTCTCCTTGTTCTCCCTGGCTCCACGGCTCGAAGGATTTCGGAAGGCCTCGTGAGGAGTCGGAAACTGTGCTCTGGCTGGCACACACGAAGTCGAAAGACGCTTCGCAGGTAATTGCTAGGCCGACGGGTCGATAATGAGCCCTGGCTTCGGGGAACCGATTACACCCGGCCCAAGCCAAAAGCAAAGCCAGAACCGAGAGAGACGAAGAGGTGGACGAGGACGATCCAACGGAGGGAGAAAGTTGTGAAGGAGGGAACGGAAGAACAAGAGAAGAGAGCGAGTTTCTAAGCCTTTCTTTTTTAAATCTTTTATAGAACACCGCGTGGAGCTCACAATCCCTGAGACTTTGCACAATTTCATAACACGTTCAGTTTTGGGAAAAGATGCACTCTTCACTCGTTTTCATAATTTTCAATTAATACCTTGTATACCAAAATCAATAATGCAATATTTGCAAAATTGTTTGTTCGTACGTAAACCTTCTTCACGATGTTAAATCCTAAACCCAACGATTACCGTGCTACTTGCATTGTTGCGTAGGTAGCGATATAATTGAAGAACCGTTAGGCGCCGTGATTGTCCAAGAAGCAACAAGCTGTTCGATAAATGCTGATAACGGAACGGGTATAACGGTGCAGAAATACGTCGAGAATAAAGGAGTCGCGCGGGAGAAAAGGAACAGGAAATTAAACGGCGTCGTAAGAAAACGAGTTGGCAAGAAGAGGATCTATTCGAGTCTCGAGTTAAAGAGAACAAACGAAGATCGTGGTTAATTACTAAATTATCAGCGACAAGTTGTCGATGAGCGGCTGAGGAACGAGGATGGTACGGCGCGGTAAATAGGAAAGGCAGGAGGAGAAGCTCTTCCTGTATCGTGCGATGAAACCTGCCTAGATCTCTCGCTACCGGGATGAGTGGTAGGTGATCTAATTTCCCGCGCAGTCGTGCAGAAAATGATCCAGGCCGCGATTACGAAACAGCTTCCAGTCTTCGCCGGGGGCAAACGAAGGCGCCGTTTTTATCGCTCTCTTTTCGTTTCCATGTATACCGCGTGTGTAATAATCGCGCCGTAACGCTGTTCCCATGGAACGGTCGTACCGTTCGAAAATAGCTTCGCGGGAAATTATTACACTGCGATATCTGCCAGCGAGAAAAACCTATCATGCGCAATTCGGATCAATCGAAGAATGATCCACTGCAAGACGTAGTGCACCAGAATATTTTTAAAATGTCTCATAGCAATTAGGCAATTACGTTTGCGCATCCAAGCGACGCACTTTGATAGCAACTACCCTCTTGTAAATAAATTTCTATTGGCGTTTCGCGGCCGAACTCAGTAGAGAACAGCGACAGGGTGATTGATCGAGGACCGAGTTAATCGAATTGACTCGGTTACCAGCACGATATAAACGGAAAACACCTGGCAGCTGTAGCTGGGAGATTGCCTTCGATTCATACGTCTTTTTCTTTTTTCTTCATCGATTCCATTTGTGGAGTTAATCTTTTATCCCCTTCGAATAACGTGCCCACTGCCCTTATAATTTGTTGAATGAATTTCGCAATTTATACCCGATCAAGAAGCGTACTATAACACGCGCGATCCCGGGTACATGCACGGTACAGAGTTGGTAAGTGGAAACGGCACCGGCGCAGCAGAGCGGTTGCGATGATACCCTCTCCCGGCCTCGAGGGCTCCCGATCCCACATAATTAACATAATGAGATAGATATTAGCGCGAGGATAGTTAATAGTGCACTTATCTGGGGAATGTAAATACTTGGCGGTCGGAAGGGATTGCGAACCTCGGGGAAAATTCTGTTACGGTGTCTCTGTCCTACCCACTTTGTCGAATCCACGTTCCTCGGAGAGCGGCCGTAAATCAAAAATGACAGAACCGTACACCCATCTGCATAATACGCTTATTTTATTCCGCGCACGTGTTCTCGCCCAGCCGTGAACGTTCGATGCCTTGTTCGCTCTGTACAAATTATTAATCGCACAAGCCTTGTTAATTCACAACGACTACCTACTAATTAAAATTAATATCTTAATAACGTTCAAGCGAAATGCTAACAGAATCTGTTGTTTTAAACGATTACTTTAGATTCATATGGGATCATGGCCAATATATTATAAATTTGCGTTACGATGTTACAAGCATTAAAGTCTTTTTTAAATATTAACATGTCTAAATATCGTTCATAGTCTTTACTGTCAAGGGAGTTGATGGTTTTTATTTTTAACGACGTTGCGTAATATGCGACAGCTGCAGCTGTTGCTCGCTCCGATTTCATTAGCCGGTGTGCAATCGCACTAGACCCGAAATCGTGCGATCGCGATTCGCTCGCGCGGCAGGACTGGGTGGTGCCAATTTGCAGGTGCAAAGTTCACGCGACGCTCGAGGTGAACCGCTAATGAGGGTTCGAGCAGTATACAAGTGTGCGCGACGCGTGTAGATTTTCTGGGGGACAGGTTAATTATCCCGGCACTGCGGCCGGTATTATGGCGTGCCATGCTTTTTCGTGTCCGTTCCATTCTATAATTCCCGACAGCACTGACAATGTAAGCAACAGTTGGGTACTCGGTGCAACGTGCCATGCGGTTCTCGTCGAAGGTATCAAATTCATGCGTTCATTTTCGCGATTAACCGGTTATTCGTGAATCCCGCAACAGGATGATTATATTACATTTTTCTTTTATTAGAAAGTGGCAAATGTGCTCGTCCGTTTACAGGCGAACTAATTTCAAAGCGCCACTTAAAAAAAGTGCTACCATTCGCATGGGTATTAATCATCACTGAATAAACGGGGTTTATTACGCGCAATATGTATAGTGATAAAGTCGAGCAAGAAAGAAAACAAATCGATATATTCTTCGGAACGATCCGAGATGGGTTTCGGAGTCCCTTGCCTCATGAGAAAGCCTTTGAGAGATTTTTGATTCCCGCGAGTCGGGGAGCCGGTACTACGGGTTCGCCTCATGCTCGTTCCTTTTTTCCTGTCGGACTTAGCATCCCTAGTGGCGCCTCTCTCAGGATATAAATTAATTAGATTTGTGTGGAGGTGTGTCGGCGAATTGCTGGCACTGGGTTTCTTGCCCTAGGACCGTCTGCTCTGCCGCGTTTCAACTCGACCGAATGGCCTACTCTTCACTACCTACAGATAGTTTCACAACTTTTCGAATGTACCCATTTCTCCACGTAAAGAGTAGGATCAATTATTCCGAAATCAATCAAAGTAAAGTCAACACGATTGTAATCATTACCATTTTTCTATGTCGAATTATAAATTATTATAGAACAACAAAATATGTGCACTCGCATTTACTAATTGTAAGATCTACCAATATGACATTAATTTCTTTTTGCAGATTCTGTACTATAATTATATTATGAGAACAATGAAAAATAAGGAGTCAAAAGGGTTCTATGATGTAAATTTCTCAATGATACGGGCATTGCTTTTGAAACACAGTGTACGTCGACAGGTAGGTCCGAGCATAACGCATGATGTATGGTGGGCGTGAAACGGGCGTAGCAACATAGTAACGTTTACTATATCGGTCAGGACTGACTAGCGGCTTTCTAGACGAATTCGCACAGCCGAACCGCAGGTTTAGAATTAACTTCAACGATACCGCCAATATCGGGATTCACCCTTGCAAGTAAATCTCACGTTTGACACCAGTAGAAACGTGGCGCTTAGGGATTCCGAAACACTATGAGAATATGTCACGCATTTACACTTACAGGAAATCTTGTTCATCTAATCGTATTAGAAAGATAAAGACATTAAGTTGTCATGGTATTTCTTTTCAACCAATGTCTATGAAGGAGCAATAATTTTACTCGGTTTCACACGATGTTATCAAAGAATTACCCTGAAACGAATGGAACTTTTATTTGTAGTCCATAATTTTAAATAACGAGCGTGATTATGGCGAACGGAAAATTTACATGTTATTTTTGTTTTATACAACGGACAATCATGCAAAACTAATGTGCTTTAATAAGTTGCCTGCCACGTGTCGAGCAATGTACAGTTATGTAACGCCTATCGAAAAACCCTATCAATTTTTCGACATTGTATTTCTTTGGAATAATGTGTACTAGTATAAATAAGCGTTTATCATGCTATTTAGCATAATCCACAAGTAGTTCAAATAATTCATCATCATTATGTAAAATTGTTACGACTATGATTAGATTAGAAAGACCAAATATGTTGCAAATAGAAATTTCAGTGCAAAAACTCACGTCTATGTTGCCGAGGTGTGCTGGAGGGCTGATACCCCTGCGGCCCCCGCCGCCGCCGACCTCAGCGTCCAGCTTGTCGGCTCGTTTGTCCTCGTGGATCCAAAAAATTTTGATAAAAGGCGTCGATACAGTTGCAGCAATCGTAGGATCGCGATCGATTTCTAGAACGATCTGTTCGTGCACCACTGTCCACCAGTAAGAAACACCGTGTCACCAATTTCGACTTCTTTTATCGATTTACAGAATTTCGAAACATTCTTATCACAATTCACTGGCGTATCGCGTCGTGGCCCTTCGCGCGTAGGGAGACGGGAACAATGACAATATCGAACCCGCGACGTCGATCCGTCTCGCTCTAGTTTTGTTCGTACGATCTCCAACGCTCGAGGCATTAGAGCAATCACAAATTTGTTTCTTTTCAGAATTTGTACACTGCCTGCCTCACTTCGGTTGACCATAAAATTTCAAATAAATGGAATGGATCGAGACTCACGGACACCGAATGTGTGTCGAAATGCTGCTCGTCGCACATTCACCGACATCTTGCATGGTACCAGAAATATACTAAAGGGTTGAAGCGGTTCGCGGGAGTCGGGTAAAGGACGCAGGGAGAAGAACAACGGTTTCAGTTTCAAATCGCGCGTCTCGCAGTGCGGCGCGCGACGGAGCGGGCGCGAGATTTCCGAGCGGATCGGCTAGGAATCGAGACCGATCTCGACTCGATCGATGACATCCGCGCGGCTACGAACCTGTTCGTCCATTCTTCGCCCCCCCGTCGAGGATGTTAGCGTGTGCATTCGTCCAGCGGGAACCACGCGTTCACGGGTGTGGACAATGACGACGACGAGTCGGCGTGCTGCGTATCCGCTTTAAGGGCTGTCCGTCGCAGACGCATGCTCGCGGCACGTTGCAGCCTCTCGCACTGACCGCGCGCAACACGTAAGAGAGAGCCGCCGAGTATGTACTGTGCAAGTAGATATGCACTTGTCTCTCTTTCCCTCTCCCCTTTAGCCACAGCAGGCCGGCTTCGTCGTTCACGGTTCTAGACGATTCCCGGTCGCCTCTTTCAGCCTCAGCCTCGACGAGCGGTGGCCGCGGCTTTTTCACGGTGGGAAGACCGGAAGGACAGCAAACGCAGGAGACACGGGTCTCTCGTCACTCTGAACTCTCTTTGAATCTCTTGCGCACTAACTTCGCGGCTATCCACTGTACTCCACGGGGAACGTTGAACGCGAGCCTGGAATTGCCGTGGCGCCACCCCTCCTCCCCTCCTCCACCCATCCACCTGATCGTCTTCCTCAGCGAGTGCCACACCACAGGGCCTGTGCTGCCTCCTCCGCCTTGCACCTCCCTATTTTTCCCTATAATTTACTCCGCGGCTGCCTCGTTTTTGTTTTATTACGTTTTCGTAACACCCTTCTCACCCCTCACCGTGTCTCTCGCGCTCTCATTCGGCCACCGTCTCGCTTTTCCTTCTCTCACCTTCTTCTCCGCGTTCTCTAAACCCTCTTTTTCCTTCTCCCTTGATCATCTGACTTTCCCTCTCTCGCTCGTCTCTTCTACCTCTCTATCTTCGCATCTGCCTCTTTCGCTTCTACCTCTACGTGCCAGCCATGAATCCTTACCGGGGCAACGGCGCGCCGCCCCCTTAATGGGTCTACAGGGGCTTTTTCCATTCACAGTGCAGCCATCTCTTGGCTCAAGTACGAATGTAACAACTCGTTACAGTGCCGCACATGTTACAATAATTTACCTCAAAGCAAGTTTCATCGCGCAATCGCATTTGTACATAAGTCGCCGTACCGTAGACAAAGTCTGAAGACGCTCTTACATTTCTTAGAAGAAAAAGATACTGGTTTATTAAAGGTGATCCAGATATTTGGGGTTGTTTCCAAGGAGTAATACCTTTTTCTTTATTCAAACACCTGCCAGGTAAGAAATCATCACAGATTGTGAAGGGTCCACGGTTTTTGGAAGCGGATGAACGTTATTGTGCCCCTTGGGCGGGACTCACGATGTATCGTATGACAGGAAGATGTCATGGTGGAACCTGATATACGACAAGGGGATGATTCGTTATTATGTGAACTTTTCACGGTAAATCGAAGCTTTAATCTATATAAAATTTTCGTCCCATTACTTCGCAACGCGTTACGGGTATATTAGAAAGTATTTAAAGTCTGTCGGATTTGAATGGATTGTCGGATCTAAATCGAAAGTGAACGTCGTTGCATTCTATTTTTCTATTTTATTATAATTCTTTCAATTTAATAACAGTTACATACGTTAGCACATAATTTACAAAAATATACAATTCTCATTCGTATATACAATAATTACATGAGGAATGAAGTGATCTTTCGTACTAATTGTAAGTAAAATATTTTTAAGGACGGACGTACCACAGATACGCAATGGTTTATCGAAGCGAATTACGAAGATCATTCCTCAAGTCAAACACTGTGTTTATATACATACGGACTTTCGACGGTTTCACAATCCTATATTACAGCGTACTGGCTACCGATCGGTAGATACGAATTCTGCGCAGTACTAACGGGCGAGTTCTCCTTGTTCGATTCCTTTTTGCTCGCAGCTATCTTCTTCTTCTGGTTCTCATGCGTTTTCACGTGTTTCGTCAAATGATCGCTCCGCATGAACCTTTTGCCGCACGTTGGACAGGCGAACCTCTTTTCACCGGTATGAGTTCGAAGATGACGCTGCAACTCGTCGCTTCTGGTGAACCTCTTGCCGCAGAATAGCCAGTTGCAGCCGAAAGGCCGCTCTCCGGTGTGCCACCTCAGATGGGCCTTCAGATGAGAAGTTTTGCCGTAAACTTTGCCGCAACCGTCCACGTGGCACACGTGCTGCCTCTTGCCGTCGACGCTCAGTTGTGCACCGCCATCCATTTGACAGTTCGGGCATCGACATCTGGTGCACTTTCTCCCAGATTTACCGAGATCATCTGCGGACAGGTAATGAGGATCCGCCGGTGGGGTGAGCGGCCACTGATAAGGAGAAGCGTGGCTCTGAGGGCTCGATGGAAGACCCGGCGGACTCGGCGGCAACGTGTAATGCTGAATCGCGGGGATGGGTGGGTGTTGAGGTTGCGCCAAATGAGTCTGTGGTGTCCACGAGTTCGAACTGGTTGGGACGCTCATCGTGTACGTCGACGCTGCCAACGGTTCCGTAATTTGGCTGTGGCTCGTGGATCCGGGGTACCAGTAACTGGATTGACTAGCCTGGAGATGGTGGCTGCTTAACGTCGGATTGTAGGGTGGATAGTGAATGCCAGGGTTGCCGTACTCCATCGCGTGTTGATGCATCGGCATCGGGAAATTCGGCATAGACGCCATAGCCGGCATTGATGGCACGGTCGACATACACATCTGTAATTTAAATAAATTTAACGTTATAATAAAGTTCTGCTTGACGTAAAGAAATCTCTATCGTGGTATTCCGTTATAAGTAGATAGTCAAAATTCAAAAGTAAATACTTAAGCAATCACTTATGCATTAAATGCTGTCACAGAGATGCACGAAAATGATTTTCACATATAACATCCTTTGTATCAAACACGAAATATACGTTTACACAAATACATTGCCTACTGACCTGTTGATACTGCATCACTTCAGGCATCACTTCACTATCTGATTCCTGAATGAATAATTATCTCATTCAGCTTCCCCTATCGTGTATACGAGACGAAATAAGAAACAAAGTAACTCCGTATTTCTGAATTACTGACACTACCGCGAGCGAATGTTAAAAGAAAAAGGTAACGTGGTATAGCCGTGTGCGGATCGCAACGTGCGCGGCGTCGAGCGTTCGCCAGATAATTGCTGGTTGCCGACCGTGTCGCCTCGGTTTTAATAACCGAGTGGACAAGGAACCGGCGAAGAAGGGAGGAGGCTGAATGCTCTGCCGGGTTCCTCTATGGAGGTGGGGATAGACCCCAGTGAATCCTGTATCCCGGTGCGCATGCGCCCTCCCCACCATCTGCTCATAAATCAACCCTGCGTTCCGAGGATAGAGGATCGAGGATCGAGGCTACGCACCTTTTGTGGCCGTCCCTGGGGGCTGCCTCATGCCCCTCATGCCGCCGAGGAAGGCATCCGTGAATTGTGCACGGTGATCTCTCGAGAGAGTATACACATTTCTACAAATCGCTATCATTTATACAGTGGGCACGTACACTCGTTTTTTTCTGATGAATTAACGTCAACTCTTTAACCACATGGTCGATTACCTAGCATGTGAAATATAGGGTGTCCCAAAAAAATGTGTACACACTTTAAATAATCATGAAGTCGGTGTTAATTAAAATACATTTCTATTTCAAAATGTAATAGAATCTACAGACATTATTTATTGTGTATGCACTTTTTTTTTGCAACAACCTATATGCTGTAAAATTGATTTTGATCTTGAAATTCAATTGATCAAAAGGGTAACTGTTCTTTTTAATTGGAACGTACTCTACGCGTCGCGGATATCTTCGAATCCACGTAACTTAAACACAACGGATACTGATCGTCTACTGGTAGATGAGTAGAATATGATAACTTCTTTAGAACAATCAATTAGATCAAAGAGGGTGTAGAATCATCCTATGGTAGTCGCGACATATGATTTCTTAACACCCTGTACATATTTGGCAGACGAAATATTTTAAAAATGAAAAGTATATTACGGAAACCATATGAAGGATAAATTCAAGACTGAAATACGCATTCTTTTATGTTGTTAAATGTTGCTCGAATGATATTTGGTCATAAATAGGAATCGAAATCCAAATGATTGCTTCACAGTTTGACCGCCCCAGATTCGATAAACGATGAAAGGTAATAATTATCGGTAAAAACATAGGTGGAATACGCTTGTTCAATCAGATTTAATTAGCGAACATTCCAATTTAATCAGAACTCCTACATACCTACGTCATGTATCTTCCATTTCGACCGCAATTTACATTGGCTTAATTTTATGTGTAAGAAATTCTCCATAAAACGAATTATTGAAAAAATTGATGAAATGTTATCAGTAATATGTTGTGTTATTTGCCACGCTACCGCTGTGTTAACGTTCACTAACTGAAATTCGGAGCATTTGCTAAAAGGTTTACGCAAAAGCGACCGAATTTTTCGGAACTCTGTGACTCGAAGCGTTCAAATGATGCACGATTTTCAGTAGTTAGCTGAAAGAGGCCAGAATCAAATTTTTACGGTGTTTAGAAGTTCTTTGACAATCTTGAACGCCGGCGAACGAGATTTGCAAAGACGGATCAAAGCGTGGAGAGGCCCGCGACAGCTTCTCGGGTGCACGGTAGCACATGATAACGAACACTGGCATCCCATAGTTCCCGGAGCGCTTTGTGGTGTACGACGTACCATAAATCTACGAAAGATCCTGCTGGTCTACGGGAGCCTTCACAATGTACTCTGCCAAAGTCAGAGTCAACCTCACTATACAAAGTGTCGATTTCTGGTGGTTGTAAAGCAATCATTGGCACGACGAGGTGACGACACTTTTGCGCTATCGATCAACACCAGATAGGAATCCATGGTTACTCTCTGTTGAGAGCACAATGCCGAGAGGAAACGGGTGCAGGTACAAGTTGTTACAAATTATATGTCGCGACTATCATAGAACGATTCTACATCCTCAATTTGGTGAAAATTAAACTAAGGAAAGTGCCACAAAATTGACTTTAAACTTGAATTTCAAGAACAAAGAGATAATAATTTTTTTTAATTCCTGCCTGGTAATCACGACACCATAATTTCTTAACACCTTGTACAACGAACGTACAAATCTCGTCAAAGTGAAGACGGGAACAAATTATTACCACTGGACACGTGGATGATAATTTCTTCGAATGAATAGAAAATTTCTATTTATCGTTCTTATTTTCTTTAATTGCTGATCATTCTGGCTGCGAAGAATATTTTTATCGCTTCGTTGTTGACTCAGGTTGAAGAAAATAACTAGTATTGATGATGGGTCCGTTTGGACAATCTTGACAATTGACGAAGGACTTTGTTATCTAGAAAAGTGGTGCACGCCTCCGCAAGGCGAACGTTAAAAATGATAGAACTTTATCGCATGTTCGGATATATTTAGATACCTATTATTATTGGTTATTTATATTTCACTTAATTGCTATTTGCATGCTTAAGTTGCAACATTTCAAGGAATACACATCAAACTTATAAATTAAGTATATAAATAACAAAGTGGAAGTTCATGTTTGCGAAATTGGAAATGAATTTTCAACGAATTTACTATAGAAGAATATAGATGAAGTCTTGACAGTAATACGGTCCAGCTTCAACAATATTAGACGCATCTATGATGCGTCATTCGCATACCGGAAAAAAATTATCAACTTCCGGCCCTCAAGAAATATCATCTGACGTCACGTGTTGCATACAGAAAGACAGGCTGGACCATCGATCTCCTGGAATATTTCCCAGTGACCACAAGCGAATTCCCGTGGGGCTCGTCTCGTTGTTTGTCATAATTCATCGTATTGGCAGAAGTATGAAAAGCATGGAAATTCGACGACGCTGTTCAACACATGTCCCAATGAGTAGTGCTGGTAACGTTGCAAACTCTAACTCTCGTAAATCTTGCGATGGTTCCGCGACGTGGCAGAAGACTGAAAGGTGGGGGCACGCCCCGGGCAACCCTTTCCTTTCCCCTGCTCGAGCCAGCCATTGTCCCCTAATAAGCCGCTTAACGTCGCGGCCAGGGGTAAATTGCTTCTCCGGTAAACACTACTCCCACGCGGGCGATCAACTCCCCGGTGAAAATTTTTTTGAAAATCTCTTTTTCTATGTACACGTATCCGTCTACGTGCAATTCCTTATATAAAACATTTGTAATCGTCGAAATTAAAATAAACCAATTGCTGAACGCTACTCTTCAGACTTTCTCCGAATTCACAGCTATTATCGAAGTAACGACGATTCCAGTTATACAGGATGTTAAAATATTGTATCAATTTTTATCAAATCGAGAGTGTAGCATCTTCATACTACATACTCGATACACATACACATAATTTTTGACCTGTACTCTGTCTCCTGAGTATGCCAAAGCGGCAAACAAAGAACACCGCAGAGTTATAAAGTACGCTCTGTAGAAACGTCGGCGTTACTGCGGAAGCTGTATATTTTTCAGGAAACATTCAGAAGCGACGAACCGATGCAAATTGAAAAGATAACGCAGGTCAGATTTCGAGGTACCCACAATAAAGTTGTATCGAGTGTTCTTGACTTATCGTATTTTTTCCTCGATAGCTGTTGATTGCCCAGCAGTTCGTGCGGATTAAGAAAATTTTGTCCTACGCCGTATTTAACACAAAGAGAAAGCGGAATTTCGACGTATTTTTGAAAGTTACTATGGGTCCGATAAGCCTGTTACAGCTGAGCTATACATATAGTAAATAATAGCAAATTGTTGTAGAACCAAAAGGTTTCCTACTTTTCCATAGGTTTTTCGTGATTTTTATTGTTCGTTGAGGAATTGACTAAAGCATTTAAATATAGTTCGCAAAGAGTAGAAATTATATAGGCACTATAACGGACAGTAAACTGACTTTTATTATTAGATTTATTAAGAAATAAGTTTTTGTGGAATCCTGAACACTATTCAGTAAGTAAGATTTTCCTGATGGCATCACGATTTGTTTGTCGAGACATCATTGAGTCGAACCTTTCCTTTTTACAGTACGGTTCAATTTTATACGTAATTTACCTGGTCGAAGGAAACATAGGGATCAGCAGGTCACTAGTCCTGACGGGTTTCTAACTTATGCTCCGACCTGGAAAAGAAGCGCAAAGGAGACGACGAAGGGAGAAAAAAGGTAGTGTAGAAGAAATGAAGTAGACAAGGGAGAGAAACGGGAAGAGAAGGAAGAAGGAGAGGGCCACGTTGCCCGACAATAGACTCAACAATGGGACTAGTCTTCGGAGCTAATGGAGCGAGACTTCGCAGTTTTCACACGATGATCGGCGTAACATGGTCGCTCATGGCTCTTCTTCTTTAAGGGAAGAAAGCCCATTTGAGTCCGATCGAATCGTATAGCTTGCAATACCACCTACGGGATTAGTCAGATACCCGCCAACTCCTAACGCCTAAGTCGATGTTAATCTGGTTAGGATTATAAGCTCGTAAACAGAGATCCTCATGAACTTGTGTGCAAACAGTTTCGAAGAATCCTATTCTTTACCTGACTCCGGTTAAATATTTGGAAGAGATTAAATAGCTAATATTGGCAAAGTCAATAACAAAAGACCAATCCTCTATGTCCGTCCGGATCAATGTCAATTTTTCTGAGACACCTCTATGTTTTGGAAAGCTACTGAAATGAAAAGTGGGTTACTTTGTGAATTCTACTCTCTATCCGATGCCAATAAGGTTTTATGGTCCGATTAACGCACGGGTTCGTTGTTCTGACCTGCTCAGGTTCAGACAAATGGATAGCAAACAGTGCATCGTCATTAATCACTTGCCGAAGGGAAAACGGTTCTAGAAGCGTATAAAGAGATTCTCCTAGTCGCTGGTAAGATATCCATTTATTACACATCGTTTATAGACAAAGACCGGTAGATTGCCAACGTCGATAATCGATAAGATCAGACTATGAAAGCTCTGTTAGTTCAACGTTATGCGTACACGGAAGTTATGTTGCCCTGTAATAGCACTTGCTTTCGGATTATCAAAGGTGCCGAAGTCATGTTGGGAATTAACGATGTACGAGGTGAGAGAACAAGAGGAACTCGTGTACCTTTTCTACAACGCGTCGGTCCCAAGTCCATAAATTCGTGGTTCGCCGTAGAGATGCAAGAATCGAGTCAGAGAGCGTCCTCTACCGTTAGTGCTATTCCAAAGGTATGACACCCTCGTCACAATACGACCTATTCCGTTCGACATGGAGAAAGAACGAAAAAAGAAACGGCAGAATAAAAACCAGA